GAGAAGGGACAATTGCCATGCTAAAGAATGCACAACCACAGAACCCCATTTTACTACTTAGTCCCTGTGGATCAAACCGGATCAAACCGGACCAGACCGGATCAAACCAGATCAAGCCGGAAAAGACCGGATCAAACCGGATCAAACCGGACCAGAGCAAACCGGATGAAACCAGTTCAAACCGGATCAAACCGGATGAAACCCGATCAAACCGGATGAAACCGGATCAAACCGGTTCAAACCGGATGAAACGGGATGAAACCGGTTCAAACCAGATCAAACCAGATCAAACCGGTTCAAACCGGATGAAACCGGACGGATCAAACCGGTTCAAACCGGATCAAACCGGATCAAACCGGATGAAACCAGTTCGATAAAACCAGATCAAACCAGATGAAACCGGATCAAACCGGATGAAACCGGATGAAACAAACCGGATCAAACCAAATCAAACCGGATGAAACCGGATGAAACCGGATCAAACCGGTTCAAACCGGATCAAACCGGATGAAAAAAACCGGATCAAACCGGATGAAAAAAACCGGATCAAACTGGATGAAACCGGATCAAACCGGATGAAACCGGATTACCGGATCAAACCGGACGGATCAAACCGGTTCAAACTGGATGAGAGCGGATCAAACCGGATGAAACTGGCTCACACCGGATCAAACCGGTTCAAACCGGATCAAACCGGATGAAACTGGTTCAAACCGGATGAAACCGGATCAAACCAGTTCAAACCAGATCACACTGGATGAAACTGGTTCAAACTGGATCATGAAACCGTTTCAAACCGGATCATGAAACCGGTTCAAACCGGATCAAACCAGATCAAACCGGATGAAACCGGGTCAAACCAGTTCAAACTGGATGAAACCGGATCAAACTGGTTCAAACCGGATCAAACCGGATGAAACCGGCTCACACCAGATCAAACCAGTTCAAACCAGATGAAACCGGTTCAAACCAGATCAAACCGGATCAAACCGGATCAAACCGGATGAAACCGGCTCACACCGGATCAAACCAGTTCAAACCGGATGAAACCGGTTCAAACCGGATCATGAAACCGGTTCAAACCGGATGAAACCGGATCAAACCGGTTCAAACCGGATCAAACCGGATGAAAACGGCTCACACCGGATCAAACCGGTTCAAACCGGATGAAATCGGTTCAGACCGGATCAATGCAGATGAAACCGGTTCAAACCGGATGAAACCAGTTCAAACCAGATCAAACCGGATCAGACCGGATCAAACCGGATGAGACCGGATGAAACAGGATCAAACCGGATCAAACCGGATCGGACCAGACCAGACTAGACCAAACCGGACCAGATCAGACTAGACCAGGCAACATGGCGAGACCTCATCTCTACAAAAAATTTTAAAATTAGCTGAGCGTGGTGGTGTGTGCCTATAGTCTGAGCTGCTGCGAGACTGAGGTGGGAAGATTGCTTGAGCCCAGGAGGCGGAGGTTGCAGTGAGCCAAGATCATGGGACTGCACTCCAGACTGGATGACAGGGCAAGGCCCTGTCTGAAAAACAGAAAAAAAAAGAACATGAGTTCCTGAGGTGGTGGCCTGGGTTACAACCCTGGCCTGTCCATTTCAGCAGCTGGGTGACTTCACGCCTTTTTAAACCTCAGTTTCCTGAAATGTAAAGTAGAGATAATCCTACTCCCTACCTTGTAGTCATTGCAAGGATTATAGGAGGCTGGCACTTAATCAGGGGCCAGTACAAGTACTGTTGTTAGAGTTCAGGGAACAATCCATTTGGATTTCCTCACCTGCTGCAGTCTGTGGAGGAGTCTGCAATGCAGTGACCAGAGGGAGAGTGAGCCTCTAGGCTAGCGGTTCGCCTAAGCCATCGCTTAGGATTTTTTTTTTTTTTTTTTTTTTTGAGACAGAGTCTCACTCTATTGCCCAGACTGGAGTGCAGTGGTATGATCTTGGCTCACTGCAACCTCTGCCTCCCTGGTTCAAGCAATTCTCCTGCCTCAGCCTCCCAAGTAGCTGGGATTACAGGTATGTACAACCACACCCAGCTAATTTTTGCATTTTTAGTATAGACAGGGTTTCACCATGTTGGCCAGGCTGGTCTCGAACTCCTGACCTCAGGTGATCCACCTGCCTCAGCCTCCCAAAGTGCTGGGATTACAGCCATGGGCCACTGTGCCCAGCCAGGATTTTTTAAAAGGAAGGAAGGGTTGTATTTGACAGAAACCAAGGAATTGCAGAAAACAATTTCCATGTGCCTAAACTCTTCAGAGAGAGGGGAGCTACCATTGCTTCCAGAAAGTGGGTTCCAGGCTGGGGAAGTCTTGAGTCTCAGCATTCTGAGAAGCAAGCCTGGTGCCATCACACCGAACTGCATCGTCTACACTGAGGTATTAGAAGCAATGCACTGTCACATCCAGCGTAATGCCTCCCTAACGGGCTGCATAAACCTGAGCTCATGCTCAAGGCTGCTGCCCATTCATGGGCCATTGGGGAGGTCCCAGAGAGAGAGGCCTGTGGGTCTTACCAGTGTGGGGCGACTGGAACCAGACCACAAAGGGCTCCCTGGAAAACACATCTACGTCTCCATCCTGATAGTCATGGTAGTGATAGCTCCTCTTCACAGATACCAGCTTTTCCCTAAAAGAAAGAAAAGGAAATCCTCCCAGCTGAGTCAGCCCTTTTCTTACTACTTTCATAAAGCAGAGATGTAGGTTCCCTTGGCTTTCTTAGACTCCAGAGCAGGCTCAAGCATGGGGTCATTTTCCTGAGGGCAAGGCTGAGTCAACTCTTCTCAACAGCCAGGGAGCTGTTGAGAATCTGGGAGCTGAAGATATGAGCCATACTAGTTATCTGTGGCACCCACAGGTTAATGTTCAGACTTAAGAAATTACTAGCAGGACGAGGAAAAGAATATGAAGTTCAGGAATCAGCTGTGCTGAGCACCTCAGCTTACCAGCCTTGGGCCAGGACTTGACTATGAGGAGTAAAGAACTCCTGGCCTGGCAACCATGGAGCCAACCAACAAATGAGGTGTTAGGAGACCCCTTGTGTTTTCAGCTTGAAGAGTTAATACTTTGCATAAGCCCCTAGTTTTGACAGCAGTTATTTTGATCAACACTGAGAATTGGTTAGAGATCCAAATTTGGTTTTGCAGAAAAGACATGCATTTTGATTCAGTTCACGATTTGTCAGTGGCCATGTTCTAGGGAGCATAGATGATACTTACTTGTAGAGAAAGGCGTATTGTTCTTTATATGTGTTTCTTCCAAGCCGAGAGCTAATCACATAGTTGTATGTTATGCCTCTCCTTGAATTTCTAGAAAAGAAAGATTTCACACTGCATCTTAAAGAATAAACATTCCCCTACTGTACATGTTCCTCTCTTTCCAATCTGCCCCCATACACACAATGTGTGGAAGGGCCACTGTTCATCATAACTTTTGAGTCCAATAAGAAGGGCCACCATTGATTGGCTGGAATGTGGCATCTGCCAGGATCTTTACAGCCATTATTTCTTGCCTTATGAGAAGGGTATTATTGTTATCCCCTTTTTATGGTTTGCAAGGCCAAGTTGGGATATGAACCTAGATCCAACTCACCCCAAAACCTGCATGCTTTGGCCTGTACCTGTAGGAGGCCACTGAGACCCTAGAAGACGATCTGGGTCAGAATCAGCCCCTGACCCCACTCATGCCCATGGCTGCAGCTGCAGCTTATGCTTTCTGGTGGAATAAACGTCATCAAGCCACCTGTCCGTTTCCACGAACCACTCCTGAGCATTTATGATAAGCAAGAATATTCTCTCCTCTGAAAGCCCCCAGGCATTTTCTCACAAGCCTTGGGAACATGATTTCACTTCACTGTTGTTTGTATCATGGGTGCTGGGGATACAGCCATGAAGTCCCATTGACCTTGCCCCTCACCTGCACCAGGGAAACCGGACTCTCTGTGTGTTTGCCAAACCTACTGATAACTCCACTCTGGGCAGAGCCTAACACAGTTTCACATTGTCTGCTCACAAAAAGATCTAGGGCTTGTCTGAAGCTGCAGCATATTCTTAGGTTCAGTTGGAAAAAAAGCAGAAGGGGTATTTAGGGGCCAATCTTACAGAAATTCCTGGAACTTCAGATGCATTATTCTAAGGCAGACCTGGCCCCTGGGGCCCCAGGAGTGTGAACAGTAGGTTCTGCTGGGCTTCCACTTTGAGGAGGTTGGCCCTATTTTGAACATAGCCTGCCAAGTCCTGAGTTACCAAACTGCTTGTGGTGACTCAGTTGCAAAGTGACTAAGGCCTATCCTGGCTTGTGGGGGATAAAGGGACAAACAGGCTTGGCTCTGCCTGGAGTCCATGACAGTCTAGACAGGTTGAGGAGTGCCAAGACCAATGGTGGTGAAAAGACTTGCCCCAGATGGACTGTGCTGGAGATGCCTGGAGCCCACCTGACCCCTCAGTCCCCCACAAACCTGTCCCCTCAGTCTCCCACAAACCTGACTGGGACCACTCCAAGGAAGGCTGAGATGACAAAGAATAGAGCACTGGCTATGAGATCAGATCAGATGTGATGCAAGTTCAGCGGTAGGCGTGGCCACTTCCTGGCTGAGTGACTCAGGCAGGTCCCTCACTCATTTCCCTCACTATCAGGGAAGCCCTCAGGCAGATTGACATGGTTTCTTGCCTGTCCCTACAGTTGTCCTACACATTCCTTCCCTATGATGGATAAGCCCGGAGGTTACGGGATGATGGCACCGGGATCTACCATCTCGTCTCGCCCCTGCCCAAGACCCAGACATGGCTTTTGTTCAAAAGTCCCTATTAAGTGTTTCATGCTGAGATGGCCAGGTGCAGTGGCTCACGCCTGTAATCCCAGCATTTTGGGAGGCTGAGACAGGCAGATCACTTGAGGTCAGGAGTTTGAGGCCAGCCTGGGCAACATAGCAAAACCCCGACTCCACTAAAAATACAAAAGTTAGCCAGGCATAGTGGTGCATGACTGTAAATCCAGCTACTTGGGAGGCTGAGGCAGGAGAATCGCTTGAACCCAGAAGGCAAAGGTTGCAGTGAGCCGAGATCTTGCTGCTGCACTCCAGCCTGGGCGACAGAGTCTCAAATTTAAAAAGTACTAAAATAAAAAGCAAGTGCCCCTCATTCCTTCACTAACGCCTTTCACCACAGCTCTCTGATCACACCCCGCAGAAGTAACCACTATTAATAGTTTGGAGAGCATCCTTCCAATCTTTCATCTTCTATGCACATGGAAACACAAACACACCCTTATTCAGGTAACATGACGACTCAAAAGGGCTATTTTACCTGCAATTCTCAACTTGGTTTTTTTTCAATACATTGCAGCCATTATTCCATGCTGGAATATTTAGCTCTAACTTATTCTGTAGCAACCAGGATTTTTTTTTTTTTTTTAAAGAAACAGTCTTGCTTTGTGGTCCAGGCTGGAGTGCAGTGGGGTGATCATGGTTCACGGTAGCCTAATCCTCATGGGCTCAAGTGATCCTTCCACCTCAGCCTCCCAGGTAGGTGAGACTGTAGGCACGTGCCACCACACCTGGCCACCAGTGTGACTTTTAACAGCTGCATAATATTCCAGTGTGTGAGCATATCGTAATTTTATTGATCTTTCTTCTACTGTTGGTTTTTAATCTTTTCTCTTTTTTCCAACATTTTCTTCATAACCGTACTTTTTAGCTCAGCCTCATCTGCTTTTTTCATTTCTTTCTGTGTCCAGACCCCTCATCTATTTCCCCTATTCTGTTTTATCACAGTAAAATCAGCTGGTTGAAAGTTCTCAGGCCGGGTGCGGTGGCTCACGCCTATAATCCCAGCACTTTGGGAGGCCAAGGTGGGTGGATTATGAGGTCAGGAGATCAAGACCATCCTGGTTAACACAGTGAAACCCCATCTCTACTAAAGAATACAAAAAATTAGCCGGGCGTAGTGGCAAGCGCCTATAGTCCCAGCTACTCGGGAGGCTGAGGCAGGAGAATGGCATGAACCCGGGAGGCGGAGCTTGCAGTGAGCCGAGATCGTGCCACTGCACTCCATGCACTCCAGCCTGGGCGACAGAGCGAGACTCCGTCTCAAAAAAAAAAAAAAAAAAAGAAAGAAAGTTCTCAGGACCGTGGCTAAGGGAGTTGGAATCCCGGGCAGCACAGGCTATGTGAACTGGTGGTCAAGTGTGGGATCTCACATTACTTTCAGATCCCTGGAGCTTTCAGATGCCCTTGCACTTGACCTTGAGCCCTAGCGGGCCCCACCTTTCCCCATGTTACTCGTTCAGCTTCTCCATCAGTATGGGGCAGATCCTGTTGTTGCTATCTTTGATTTCCATCAGGAGCATAATGTCACAGCGTTTGATGACCTGCAAGAAAGAGAATTCCCAGGGGTTGAGGTCATTTACCACAGATAAATAAAACCTTTTATTGGACACTTACTGTTTTTAAACATTGCATTGAGTGCTTATTAAAATAATTTCTACTCTGAACTAAATGAAGGACTCCCTGAGGTAGGTTGGTGCTTTTGTTATATACATTTTTAAGATGAGCGTGAGGCTCAGAGAAAGTTAAGTAAATTACACTCCCAGTCACCCTACTAGAAAGTGGTGGAGGCAGAATTTGAACCTATACCATTCAAGCCCAGAGCCCCTTGCTCATGACCTCCCCACAATATCCTGCCTCTTGGCTTTGCTTGAATAATTATAATAATAATAATAATAAATATTAAGCCCTTAGTCAGCAAAGGTAACAGACTGGATTAGAAATTAAGAGGTATAATGATAATAACTATAAAAGCTGACATTTATTGCAAACCTACTCCAAGTCTTACAATAACCCTATGGGATAACTATGCTTTTTAGTCCATTAAACATAGGCAGAAACCAAGCTCAAAGTGGTTGAGTGACTAGCTTAAAGTCATACAGCCAGTATAGGTTGTAGAGCCAGGATTTGAACTCAAGTCCACGTGACTACAAAGTCCACCATGCTGAACTGTTAAAACACAGTCCTGGCTGGGCACAGTGGCTCATACCTATAATCCCAGCACTTTGGAAGGATGAGGCGGGCAGATTGCCTGAGGTCAGGAGTTCGAGTTCAGCCTGGCTAACATGGTGAAACCCCGTCTCTACTAAAAATACAAAAATTAGTCGGTCATGGTGGCATGTGCCTGTAATCCCAGCTACTCAGGAGGCTGAAGCAGGAGAATCTCTGGAACCTGGGAGACAGAGGTTGCAGTGAGCCGAAATCACGCCACTGCACTCCAGCCTGGCGACAGAGCAAGACTCCATCTCAAAAAAAAAAAAAAAAAAAGAAAAACCAGTCACTGCTCTGGAAGACTCAGTCCAGCAAGACAGACAAATGGAAACAGCTAGCTATGATGTGAGACCAAAATCAAACCAAAACAAAAACCTGCGCTACATAAAAGTCACAAGCTGTGGAAGTGTTGAGGAGTAATTAATCGCTTCTATTCGGAGGATTTGGAAGGGCTCCACAGTGGAGGTGACATTTGAATGGTCCCTGAAAGCTGAGAAGGCACTCAGAGAGAAAAGAATATAGGAGAGGCTCCTTCAAGCCCACAGCCCTTTCTGTGACCAAGCCCACAGGGGCCTTTCTGTGTATGGGATCCTGGTGGGCTCAATGACACAGGATTTGTTGGTCAAGGACAAGGCATCCCCAAGGTTAATATCTTTTTTTGAGACAGGGTCTTGTTCTGTCACCCAGGCTGGAGTGCAGCTGTGTGATCATGACTTACTGCAGCCTCAATCTCCTGGCCTCAAGTGATCCTTCCACCCTGGCCTCCCAAAGTGCGGGGAGTACAGGCATAAGCCACTGTACCTGGTCTCCAAGGTTAATTATGTCCTCTTACACAGCCACCAAAGACATAGAGTAGGAGGGTTATGCCAGTGGTCCTGTCTTTCCAGAGCACATGTTCCAGTTCCATCTTTAGAAGGACCCAGTGGGGAGAGACACCAGCACTTACCTGTCTGGGTGCCTCTGTGACTGGGGGTTCAGCCTTTAGGAGGCTGCCCCAGGTGGGAGGTCCACCCGTGTAGTGACTGACAAGGAGAACAATGTCCTAAGGCTGGAGCCTTCCATAGACAGCTTGAACTCCATGGCATCAGCCACGCAGGGCTCTCCTGGGAGCTGGAAGCCACTGGCCAAGCCAGTCTGCTGATTTAGTCACTGTGACTGCCACACCTTTCTGGAAGGCATTTTCAAATATGTATGCCCTTTGACCCAATTTTTCCACTTTGAAGAATGTCTTCCTTTGGGGTGCAGGTGGCTGAAGCCTGTAATCCCAACACTTTGGGAGGCCAAGGCAGGTAGATCACCTGAGGTCAGGAGCTTGAGACCCGCCTGGCCAATATGCCGAAACCCTGTCTCTACTAAAAATACAAAAATCAGCCTGGCGTGGTGACGTGTGCCTGTAATTCCAGCTACTGAGGAGGCTGAGGTGGGAGAATCACTTGAACCCGAGGGACAGAGGTTGCAGTGAGCCAAGATCACACCACTGTGCTCCAGCCTGGGTGACAGAGTGAGACTCCAACTCAAAAAAAAAAAAAAA